CTTGAGGCATGCTAGCACGCTCAACAGTATCTCTTCTGGCTCCTTTCAAACCCCTCCCAGCATTTGTCCAGCCTGCCTCCTCAGTCCCCCTCCCCGGATATCTGACACTGCACCTTGTCCTTTTCTGACCCTCCGAAGGGCTGATGTGTCTGAAACAGGCTGCTGTGACTTCCAAAAGCAATGGAAATGGAGAAAACAAAAAGAAACGTTTTCTCTTGCTTTCCAAAGACTCTCAGTGCAGGGTTCTAAGGTGCATGCAGTGACGATAATTCATTTTAAAAAATCCTACTTTTTTGTAGTCCCTGCTAGTCTCCTCTTCTGCTCGGCTGCTGAGGGCGGCTAACCGGTTCTCCCTCCGGGTGTAGGCACTGGAGCGGCTGGAGGCACGATCGCTGTAGGAGTCACTGGTGGTCGGGTTTGTCGCTGCTTCCAACCTAAAGCGCAATGCAGATCATGCACCACGGAGCCGCTTCCCTCGGGGACAGCCAGGATGAGCCCCACTGGTCCGGACTCAACGCCGTGGCAGACCCGGCTGAGCAGGGGCGCTGGGGAGGCCGCAAGCACCCTGCACCCCACAGCAGGGCTGACGGCCAGGCAGTGCCACCAACTTAACACCGCGACAAAGCCTGTGGGGATCCCAAACCCCACACAGGCAGCAATTTCCCATGGAGCCCTCATCTTCCTGGTGGGAACAGGCTCCATTTCTAACAGAGCACAGAGGTTTTTTCCTCTGCAGCGTAGCTGTTAAATAATAAATAATTTATTTAATAATTTAATAATTTGGGGAGCAAAGGATGAAAGCAAACTGGCCCAATAGTTGGTAAGAAGCAAATGGCCAGTACCAGCTTCAGCTTATGCTGTTGATTTGAAACACAGGGAACCCCCAAAGCCAGACAAAAACATGCTGTCAATAAATATTAAATAAAAAAACCTCCAGAAAATAAAATTCTTACCTGGAAAGTCTTTCATGCTGAAGGGGGAAAAAGAAAGAAAGAAAAAGGGAATTAATAATGAAGACAATTAAAAGTTCATTTCAAGAACTGCAGAGCTGCCATGCAGCAGCAGTTTCCTACTTTTGATACCAGCACCTCGCTCACCACAAGCTAAACAGCATTACTTGCCATGCCGAAACTGGGAATCGTCGATCCCTGCCTCAATCTTTTCAACTGCTTCAGCTTCTCTGAAGCATTTCAGGTTTCATTTCTTTTGCTAACCTGAAAACTACTGAACCTTCTTCTTCAAATCCTAGTTTCCAGAATTGAAATCCATTCCTTTGAACCAACACTTATCTATTGTTTCCCTTTTTAAACCATCTTATTCTTCTTGACTTTGATCACTGTCCTATGCATGATGTGGGCGAGAGGGATTAATGGACACTCGGTGCATATTTGTGCTGAACTTCAGGAAGTCACAAACGGTGCTTTTTCTCCATGGGCAAGCACCTCCTCCATGAAGAAAAGCCTCACTGCAGCCAGGAGACACACCACAGAAGCTGCGTGAGGAGGGGAGAGGAGCCTTACCCCAGCCAGAGGCTGGATACGGTAGCTGACGCACGCGTTGGGCTCTTCCTTCCCCATCAACATCCACGTCTCCGCGGTGCCGTCCTCACCGCTGCCTTTGCTGCAGCCCACCGGTGCAGATAAACCGAAGATGGTCTGAGCCAACCAACACCCAGAGGAGGTCGCAGAAAAGTTTTGCTTGGAATTGCAATGTCCTACAGGGGTTGGTTTTGGTAAACCACCAGTTCTAACAAGGTTTTCTGGAATGCTCAGTCCGTTCCTACAACTGCAGAAATCAAATGGTAATGGCATAGGGGTCCTCAGGATACAC